ACTGGGTTTCCAGCTCTGGTTGTGTAGATGTATCTCTCTGCCTCTTGTCACTTCTCTTTGTTCCTCTCTCTTCCTTCAGTTCTGCATGAGTGTCTGTTCAGGCTGCCTGATTCTGGCTGTAGTTGGACACTATGTTCCAGGCATAATGATCTCCTACATCATTTGTGAGTATAAGCAGCTCTCTTGAAAGCCGAAACATGACCTAACTGTGCTGTTGATATGCTGGTAGAAGCAGATTTGTGGTTTTCTCAAGGGGATCTGTGCTAGATAGATGAATCAATACAGGGAGTGTGCTCTGGCAAGTCTCTCTAAGTGTGTGCATGCGTGCAGTACAACTGCAGAGGCAGGAGAGGGAGCCCTCTGCTCCCCAGGGCTGAGGCTGTGCTGCCGAGGCGCCAGGGAAGATACTCTCTGTATCGAGAGTGTTTAGTTAGTGAATCTGTGTGGTAAATAGACCTTTTTCACTGCATCATGAGTCCCTAATAACTGTTCTGGTGGTCTGCTGCGAGCACATCTACATATGAGCTCTATGCTTCTACCCTTATAGAAGTTTTGATCATACTTAGTTTTAATAACCTTATTTCAGGGCTTGTGTTGCATGTTGGGGCTGGGATGTAGTGGCTGAAGAAAAAGACTCACACTTCATCTTAACATAAATCTGTATTCTAACAGAGATCTGGCACTAGAGCCCGGTTAATCAAGCAGCTTTGGAATGAGTAAGAATAGCCATGGATGAGGATTTTTAGGCAGAGTCAGATGGGAAAGCAGATGCCATTCAATTGTGTTCCCCTTGATTCAGTCTTCCTCGGTGGCGCCACGGGGAGGATTGGGTTGTGCTTGGTCTGTCTCACACGCACTTCATCCTGTGTCCATAGTGCTCAGCATTCTGCTCTGGCCTCTGGTGGTCTACCATGAGCTGATCCAGAGGATGTACACACGTTTGGAGCCTGTCCTGATGAAACTGGACTACAGTATGAAGGCAGAGACGCTGCACCACAAGCATGAGAAGAAGAGTAAGGACTCACCTTCTCTCTGGCTTTTTTGGGTGCGGTAATCCCAGGGTGAAGCCCTAGCAAAGGGACAATAGGAGACCACATCTGTAGTGAAAAGCTCCAGAGGAGCAGAGGAAAGCAGGTGGAAACTTGAGGTTTATAGGGGGAGCAATTAGGTGCTCCCATGTGATCCTGAGAACAGCACACAAGAGCAACAGATTATGGTTGTCCCTGGGAACCCTGTACACTTTCACATGGTAGTAGAAGTAGTGGGAAAGTGATGTATAAAGGCAGAAAATTCCTTCAGTGTCATGTAAAGGCTTTCTTCTCTTTCTCATAGAGCGACAAACGAAGAGCGAGCCTGCAGTAGGTGATGAGCCAACAGCAGAGACAGAGAGTGAGAGTGAGGCAGAGCTGTCGGGCTTCTCCCCAGTGGTAAGAGCACAAAGAGCTGAGCAGAAACCAGTCCCTCCTGTCAGATCTGTAGCAGCTTGAGAGTCAGGCAGTGGTCTGAGTACAGCTGCATTGATAACAAACAGCAGAGCACTAAGTCTTTTCTTAGTGGAGAAGGGTATGTATTTGATGAAGGCCATTGTCTCCGATCTGGGTATTGAGAATACAGTGCTGGTGAGGACATGCCCCAGCCTCCTCCTGACCTCAGAATGACTTTGGTGGTTATACTTCATGCTCAGAGAACCTGAGTGTCTCTTGAAGAAATGAACTCCCTCTGGTGTAATATATGGGGCCTCTTCAACACTGAAAAAGGGAGATGAGCAGCACTAGTGTGTTTTACACTGTTCCCTACTCTCAGTCAGACTGTGTGTGACTTTTCTATATTTGCATTGCAGAAACAGACCAAGTGTCTTTCTTTACAGGAGCTTGGGGCATATAGCTGGGCTGTGAGGTGGGAAGCTTCAGTTTCTAAAGGAATGTGGATACTCGAACCACTAGTTCTTGTAGAAGGCTTCACTGGGCTCAGTGTGAATGCAAACGGGAAGGGGTGTTCTTTTTCTTGGTGATCCCAGGAAAGGAAGAAGGATCAAAGTCTTCTGAGGCTCCCACAGTCTGATTCCATCTTGTACTCCCTCTTTTGGGTTTTTGACTGAGAGCAGGCAAAGCTTCAGGCAGTGATTTGTTGCAGGAAAGCCAGTGAGCTGAGACCGCCCTTCCCTGTAGTGCAGTGAGCACTTTGCCCAGCATACTGTCCCTCCAGCAAAGACTTCTGCCTGGAAGCTCTGGAGGCACCTGTAGGCAGCACTGTTAGCCAGACACACATGAATTTGTCCCTCTGCCTTCATCCCATGCAGGTGGATGTGAAGAAAACTGCCCTGGCGCTGTCAATCACAGATTCAGAGCTCTCTGATGAGGAGGCTTCTATCCTGGAAAGTGGGGGCTTTTCTGTCTCAAGGGCTACCACCCCACAGCTGACAGATGTTTCTGAAGGTATGTGATGCCTTGCTGCCCCCCTTACTCTGGATGTTTTGTCTCAGAACAGTGAGCCTTATGAATGGGAGGACAGGGAGGGAACCCAGCTATTTGCATGGGAAAAGCATTGAAAGGAGGAAAGAAAAGCAGCACAGCATGCCGTGACTTCATGGCTGATCATAAACTGGTCCTGAGTGGACATCTGCCTCTAATTACTGCCCCACAAAGCAATGCTGTCTTGTGACACCACCAAGGGAGCAAAGGCACTCACAAAGTCCCACAGAAATAACTGTGTGGATAGTCACACACCTATATATGATGCTGGTGAAACAGGTCTGACACGTCACCCTGTCAGACTTCCTAGCTCAGAGGAGGACTGGTTAGTGGTGAGGAATGTGGAGATACCCACTCGGATGTGGTCACTTGGGTGTCTGAGGAGGAGCACGCAGGTGATGTAAGTGCCATTTCCCTGACCCTGAGGGTTTTCGTGGGGGGCTCTAGATGCAGAGAGCATGAGCTGGTGCAGGAAGTCCACTCTGAGCACAGAGCACATAGAACATGATGACAAAAGGGACGCTTCCGTGTGAGTCATGCCACTGAGAAAAGGGGATAACTACAGACCTCTTCCCGCTGTGCTCCAAGGATGGGGAAGATGCCCAAAAGTCAGCCATGGTGTGTCATCTGGGAGAAGGCAGGTGGGAGGTAGAGTTGAGAGAACCTGTGCCTTAATGCTGGTGCCTTTCAGACCTGGATCAACAGAGCCTGCACAGTGAGCCAGAGGAGTCATTTTCCAAGGACCTGGCAGAGTTTCCATCTGTGGAAGAATATCATTCCAGAGACCTGGGACCACAGAGTGATGAAGACGCATTTGGTGTGCCTCTGGGTCCTGAGCTTGCCCACGCTGCCTGTGAGCTGGACTCAGCAGAGAAAGAGGCCGCGGACTCTGACCTCTCCATCCTTCACCTCGCATCTCCTCTCCATTTTGTAAATACGCACTTCAATGGGAGTGGTCAAGCGGCAGGAGGCAGCGCAGAGCCAAAGACTGTCCCTGCCCCGGGCCTGGGCATCTGCATTAACACGCTGAGTGAGGAGATTGTCACCACTGCCATCACCACGGCAGTGCAGAACACCCTCTCTGCCCTGCTGCGGTCCTCAGAGGCCAGCGAGGGGCCCTCCCTCTCTGAGTTCCTCCCCACCGAGCCTGAAGAGAAACTGAGTTTCCAAGCACACCTGTCAGAGAGTGAAGTGGTGGAGACAGAGACAGAAGCTTCACCAGAGGATGAGGAGGAAGCAGATGACTTTGAGCTACTGGATCAGGGGGAGCTGGAGCAAATGGATGTAGAGCTAGGGCTCGGAGAGGAGCAGGGAGCACAGGAGTCTCCTGCCGCTCCATCTCCCTCCTCTGCTGTGCTTGCTGAGCTGCCAAAGCAAGGAGATGAGGAGGAGGCAGTGATGACTGCAGCATCTATGTCTTAGGTCTTCTTTGTGCACCCCCTTTTCCTCCATCATCACTGGAAAGAAGGAAAAACTCACACAGTGAACATGCAGCGGGTTTTTAAATGTTTGTGTTGACTGGGATGGAAATGCGTCAGTGTTAATGTGCTGTGTCTGGAATAATGAATCCTTTCCATCCTTCTAGAGCCCGGCCTTCACTGGCTGAGCAGGAGGCCCTGCAGCTGGGGAGGAGTCGGCTCCTAGAAGCCTTATGCCACAACTGAAACACCAACCCCAGCAAACGCTTCCTAGTAATGGTGCAGTATTTCGGTCTGTCTTCTGTTTGTCTTTCGTTTTGCACGCAGAGTACCGAGCTAGCTGTAGCTGCTGCTAATACCCACATCCCCAGTAGGACATATGCAATCTTATTTTATTGGGTTTTTAAATGGCTAAAAGTGTAAATAATTTTAACTTTCCTTGGTTTTGTTTGGGGGAGAGGGATGGGGTGCATAGTCAAACATGGCTCTCAGGGGCTAGTGGAGGGAAAGGGGTCTTTGGAACAGAGGGTAGCAGTAAGGGGACAAAAGCAGATGGATGCTATGCAGTGAAGAGTCCCCCTCCTGCAAACTATTCCATTTTTTGTGTCACTGCTGTAACAGGGTATTGGGTGATTTTTTTCCCTGTCCTGTTTGAGTTCTGCTACTGGGTGGCTGTGGAGTTGAGTTTTTTGCAATCAATGAAATTAACTCCTAGCCCTGTTCAGTACTTCAGTTTCTTGCTGTCGTGGCATCTCATGCCTTCTTCACCCCTGACCCCGCTAGCACCCCTTCTGTGCTCAGCTGGGCATCGTAGCATGGCACCTGGAGACTCCGAGGTGACTGGAAGAGAGCCAGGAGCTCTGTTAGCAGAACATCCGTGGTTTGCGTCCCCTTGGGGCAGGGGGAGGGTGGAGGGAATTCCCCCGAGTTTAAGCTGTCCCATGTGGACAGAGACACTTCTTGCTGGCCCTTTTGGGCTCCGCCTTGCCCCTCGGCGCTCCAGCAGGCCTCCGGAGCTGGTTTTGCTGCCGGCGGTGCTTGCGGAGGGGGGGACGCGGCGGGCTGGGCGATGCGGCCGGGGCGGGGCTGCGCTCGGGCCCGCCCAGCACGCCCCGCCGGAAGCGGGCGCGGCGGGGCCGCCGGTGCCGGTGCGGCCGCCATGGAGTTCCCGGACCTGGGCGCGCATTGCTCCTGGCCCGCCTGTCAGCGCCTGGGTGAGCACCGGCGGTGCCGGGGAGCGGGCACGGCTCCCGCCCGGGCGGAGCGGCCGCGGGCCCGGGCTCGGGGCTGGGTGGTGCGGACCGGGCAGCCCGGCCTGCGGGGAGGCGGCGGGGCGGCGCCGGGCTCCGGCCGGTGCAGCGGACGGTGAAGGGCGAGCCGTGCCGCCCGGCTTGCCCTTGGCCGAGGGGTCATTGTCCTTCCCGCTGCCAGAGCGGGGCTGGCTGCGGTGCCCGTAGCCCGGGGACACGGCTCTGCGCGGGCGGGCAGCGGCTCTGGGCCGGGGACAGCAGGGAAGGGCCCTCGGTGCCGCAGGCTGGGGACGTCGGACACGGCGGTGCCGAGGGGCCGCTGGGGCTTGCTCGTCTCCGGTTATCCCGGTGGGTGAATCCCGTGGTGGCTGGGGCGGCATCGGTCGCCGCCGGCTTGAGGCCGGCAGCCCATAGGGAGCTCGGTGAGATTCCAGGTGCTGCTCCTGATCGCGGGGAGGGCACGTTTTGAGGAGGAGCCCTGGGTAATTCTAAGACGTGGCTATGGAGCTGCAGATCTTTTGTTTCCGTGCTGGGGGATGAGAAGTACGGCGCTGGCTTTGCCGCGGGTCAGGGTTGTGCCCTCGGGAAGTGGAGGAGGCCCCCGGGCTGCAGGTGGGCAGTGCTGACCTCCATGCTCTCTGTCCGCGGCATCTCCCCACTCCCAGACTTCCTACCCCTGAAGTGCGATGCCTGCGAGCAGATCTTCTGCACCGACCACATCGCTTATGCCCAGCACGACTGCACCTCTGCCTACAAGAAGGTAAGTGCAGAGAGGAGACCTCATCCACTCTCCTGTATGGAGCTGTTGAGTTTTTCCAGCCAGGGGTCAGAATAATCTGTGACTTCTTTGGTCACTTGGGCAATTCCCGTTGGGATGTGTGCTGAGTCTGAAGGTGCCCCTGAAAGCCAGGGTATGCATCTTAGTGCCACAAACATCCAGCCTTCCCTCTGCCACTGGGTGAAATGGTTTGGGCATCTCCCAGCCATACTGTCTTCCCTTCCCAGAGTGTGTATCCATGCATGTGCACCAACTGTGCAAGCTGGTTGGAGGGTGGTGAGCAGAATCTCAAATTGCAGCTGATGCTGTAGAAACCATGATAGGCAGGTCCAGAAAGGGAGGGAAATGGCTGCACAGCACTCAAGGTTGCCCAGCTACCTGCTCCCAGCCCCTTTTTGTTATCTCTGCAGGATGTGCAGGTCCCAGTGTGTCCCCTCTGCAACACCCCAGTCCCTGTGAGGCGGGGAGAGATGCCTGATGTTGTGGTGGGTGAGCACATTGACCGTGACTGCAAGTCCGATCCTGCACAGCGCAAGCGCAAGGTATGAACCTGATGCTCTCTGCTTGGCTGCTGAGCTCTGCTGGGTCCCTGACAAAGCCTGGGAGTGGGATGAAAACAACGCAGATTCGCCCCTGCCCAGTGCTTTCCCTGTTGGCACAGGCTGAAGGCAAGGACAGTTGGTGAGCTGGAGGTGTGAGCATCCATGGGGATTTGTGAATGCAGTCTGAGGCCTGGGATGGAGTGGGGCTGGGCAGCCACCTGGGATGTGAGGATGGGAAACTGCACTGCTGCCATTAAGAAAATGCAGTCAGCAATTAGTTGCACCATCTTGCCAGGAGATGAAATTGCTGCAGGGAGCTGGCCCTGTAGGAATCCAGTCCAGCAACAACCGAAGGCTCTGGACTGTCCCCACTGCACTGGCGTGGAAGGCAGGAGTGCCTGGGCGAGGCATGCTTTCTCCTGCTCTGCATTCTGTGGTTGTGGAAACCCTCATCTACAGAGATCAAAACACCAATGAATTACTAATAAACTATCTAAAGAAAGCTAGTATTCAGAGACAAACTCTAGGGCCCTGCAGATAACACACTGGTGAGAAAAGCTGGTCAATGCCCAAGGCCTGGCACAGAGGGAGGGGACAACACTAGACCTGCAGCGCTGTGCTCCTTTTCACCACTGCTGTGTCATTTTTTCAGATCTTCACCAACAAGTGTTTGAAACCTGGCTGCAAGCAGAAGGAGATGATGAAGGTGATCTGTGACCAGTGCCACAAGAACTACTGCCTCAAGCACCGGCACCCCCTGGACCACGACTGCAGCGGGGCAGGGCGTCCCCTCTCCAAAGCAGGGTGAGGGCCTGGGGACAGACAGGCTGGCACGGATGGGGCTGTGCTTGCCAGATGGGTGATAAGAAAGAGCCTAGATCCTCCTGGCCTGTTGTCTGGGACTGCTGCATTCTCACACTCCCTACCAGGTGTGTTGGGGTGTCCTCCAGCAGTGCCAAGCACAGCTGTATGCACGATCTCTCTCCAGTAGCAAAAGCTGCTGATACTGCCCACTGACTGCTTTGCTCTTGCTTCTTTGCCCATCTCATTATTCTGGAGCTGGTGGTTTCTGCCTATCCTGGTACACGGTTTCAGGTAGAGAAACAGCACTTGAAACTCTTGGGAATAACTGAGCCACAACATGGGGGTACTCTTGGGAGGAAGGGGGGTGTGGAGCCAGGGAGGCCTCTTGCTTATCCAGCTTCATCTCTCGGGGTGTTCAGTGCCCAGGAACAGCTTGTGATGGTTAAACAGTTGCTCACAGGCGTCCTGTCTGTCCTAGGCATGCTGCAGTTACGAGAGCCCAGGCATCCTCCTCCAAAATAGTCACTGCATCAAGCAGTGGAGCTGCCCAGCCAGCAGACAGCTCCTCTTCTCCAGCCTTTGCCAGGTAACGTGATAGCCTAACTTGTAATTCTGAGGTGAGCGTGACCAGTCTCAGCCTGGCTTCCCATGGAATGCTGGAGTGACAGCTTCTTATGCATCAGCAGAACTCAGTACTTGTACCAGGGCTCCCTGCCTTGGTAATAACCCAGCTTCTTTCCTGTTTGTAGGGGAGGCAGAACAGGTGCATTGCAGAGTCGTAGCACCTCCCCTCCAGCTGCCATGCTGCTGAATGGGCTGGTGAGTGGCTTGGCCTGGGCATTTGGGATGGGTTCGGGTGGTTCCTGTGACCTGGGAAGTGACTGCAACAGCTGCTTTCTAACGCACATTCTGTGGAGAGTATGTGGTCCTAGCTGGGCCTTCCCTGGCAAACAGGGATCCTGAATGCTCCGTGGGAAGTCAGACCTTGCAGCTATGCTGCGCTTGGTGCTCATTTTCCTCCAAAGGGATAAAGTGCACCAGCCGTTTTCCCCAGGTGTTGTTTTTCTGTTCTCCAAGCCAAGGGTGGAGGAGGAGACTGGAAGCTGCTTCCCACTGGTATTCTTGGCATACTCCTGTATTAGCAGACAGGAGTGTGTTCCCATGGGCAGGGGGAGAGCACTGCAGATCTGTCCTGAGCCTCAGGCCTTCACCTTGGCTGTGTCTGGCCTCCTGGAGAGAGGAGGCCACCCTTGGCAAATCAAGACTGTACCTGCCACGTGTCCCTTAGGGCTGCTTACTGCCCCCCACCCTGGCTAAGCTGGTGACAAGGTGTTTTGTTTCAGAGTGAGGAAGAGGCACTGCAACGAGCTCTGGAGATGTCGCTGGCAGAGTCAGCAGGCAGCTCAGTGCAGCCACCCAGGTACAGCCCCAAAACACGTGATGTGTCACGCACCCAGCCCGTGTGTGAGAGGTGCCTGGGGAAGCATCATGTGGCTTTGGGATGACATTTCTCTCAGCACGTGTCTCCATATGATGCCTCTCTGTGGCTAACAGGGGAAAAAAGGAAGAGTCTAGAGCCATCAGGGAGCTCTGTTCAGCAAGCAAGCCCTCAGCCCTTGGGGGAGCTGGGAGGGGATGGTGACTGACACAGAGAATAGGGCAAGCATGACAAAGGCAGAGAAGGGTTCTTCACAGAGGACACCTGGGAGCTCACGTCCTCAGGCACAGCGCCCAGTGGTGCTAAAAGCACTGTCTTACAGTCTGGAGTTAACATGGCTCTCCTTGGCCCAGAGTGGTAGCTGCCAGCCCCAGCTGGATCCTCTGCTCCTTCCCCAGCCCCTGCCTTCTTCAGGGTGATCCTCAGTTGCTCTCCACCCTTAGTTATGCTGGAGAGTTGCAGTGAGATGCTGTCACTCCAAAGGGCTCTGAGTGTTGGGCCCATGAGCCTGGGGGAGGCTGAGGCACATAATGCAGTGTTGTCCCAGCAGCACACAGGAGGAGGAGGATCTGGCACTGGCCCAGGCACTGTCAGCGAGCGAAGCCGAGTACCAGCAGTCGCAGCGGCAGGTGAGTGAGGCTGGCTATAGGCTCTGCACTGTCACGGGGTTGATCCTGCCTAGCCATGTCATGGAGGGAGCTTCCCTGCGTTCTGCTTCCTCTGCGCTCTGTCTAGGCTGGCTTTCTTCACCAGGAGGGCAGCCCAGCCTGGGCTGAGCACACAGCCCCGGGGACTTGAGCATTGGATTTGTAGGACAGAGGAGAAAGCCTGTCTCCTCTTGCTCACTCTGTGCTTCTTCCTGTTCCAGGCACACAGTTCAAAGCCATCGAACTGCAGCATGTCATAGGCCGGAGAGGCAGGGTGTGCCAGCAGACACGAGATCCCGCTTGTGACCCAAGGAGTGGCTCTAGCCTCCCATGTGGATGCTGTGGGGTTCTGGCCTGGGCACTGGTGACAAGAGCCCTTCACCAGGGACAGCTCATCTCCCTGAGAGCTGTAAGCCACGGAACACATGCTGGCACCTCAGCCCTAGCACCTGTATAAAATTAGTGCAGCAAATCACTGATACTCCTGGGGAAATGAAGACGGTGCAGGACGAGGCTGAGCACACATTGACCAAAGCAGGCAGCAGCCCAGGGTCTGCACTTACCCACTGCTGCCACAGCCATGTCACAACGCTGATGGGACTGTGGAGTGAGGGCAGAGCCACATGGGGACATCTCCGCATGCTCGGACATACAGCTGCCGGGATGCAGCTACCCACTGCAGTAGCAGGGGGCTGGATTTCATGCTCTGGGGAGGGCCCTGCCAGTCCCTCAGCAAAGAACTGTAGCTGGGATGGTCTCTTGCCTGGACACAGCACAGCTGAATGTGCAGCCTCCCAGTAGTGTGAAGGCAGCCGCTTCCCTGCTTCCCACACCCTCGGTGCCTCCCTGCTGTTTGCATGCACAAGAGCATGTTGGGCCTTACCCCACTTGGCTGGGGCACAGGACCTCTCTGAGACTGAATGGAGCTGTGTTTCCTTTCTGGTTTAATATAACAAGGGCCATTAACTGAAAAGTAACCTTGGCGGTGACTTGACTGTGCTGTGTGGCTTGCATGGGAGGGCTGCAGCTGCCTTCTGCTGGCTGCTCTCTGCTGCCCTAACCTACCCCAGAGCCCTGTTTTAATGCTGCTGGATCAGGAACGCCTCCCTCCTTCCAGCCATGCTGCAGGGAATCCCCTTTGGGATAGCAGCAGCACAGAACCCCTTAGAAACAGAGCCCTGAGCCTTGAGCCAGCTCTTCCTTGGCGGTGGCTGGCGCTGATGGGTGGGTTGAGGGTATTTGTCCCATTGGCCTCTGGCAGGGAGTCTGCAGCTGTGCAGAGTGGTGCTGCTTTTCCTGCTGCTGGAACCATTCCAGCCTACAGGGGCTGTGCCTGGTTCTGCACAGGACTGGGCTGTCCTCTGAGCGGCGTACAGCTGAGGGAGGGGGTGTCTGGCTGGGCTGAGAGAACATTGGGAATTGTCAAAGTGCTGCTTGGGAGAAAATAAAAGCATAGCACAAGGTGCAGAGGCACTTAGGGGGAGTGGTCACTTGGTGTCTGGCCCAGAGGGGCACATCTCGGCAGATGGGAGTGCAAGGGGGGGGCACATGGGGGTGAGTGGGCATCAACTACCCTGCTTCTTCCTTTCCTGTTGGGGTGTGGTCCCCTGCCAAGCTCAGCCCTTTGTGTAGGGCTGATAACCTGCCTGGCCCCTTGCCTGCCTAAGGCCATGGAGCTCAACCCGTGGCAGAGAGCTGCTGGTTGACCTAAGGGCACAGGCACTAACCCTGCCTGCCCCTGTCCCGAGGTGTGTACCCTGCTCAGAATACACAGGCACAGAGCTGAGAAGGACCTGGTTTAAGAAACTACACAACAGCAAAACAAACAGGTACAAATATAGTGGAGTGTCCAACCAAGCCCCTGCAGCTCCAGGACGGGCCGAGCTTCAGCCCACAGCCAGCAAAGGGCTCCCTAACAGTGTGGGGGCCTGGCCCCGAGTCAGCGTCACAGCAGAGATGCAAGTTATGCTCACGACCCCTTCTTGCTGCCCTGGGGCTTCTCAGTGTGGTGTTCCTTGCTCTCACCCTCATCCCCAGCCTGCTGCTGCAGCCACATGCCAGCATACACGCCACCCTTCTGCAGCAGTTCCTCATGCCTGTGGGGAGAGCAGAGGGATGCAGGGTCCTGAGCTGGCCCCAGCACCAGGGAGTGCATCCCCGTGGGCAGACAGTACCCAGCCCTTCTCCATGCTCACCTCCCTCGCTCCACGATGTGCCCATCCTTGAGCACCAGGATCTGGTCTGCACCCACCACGGTGGAGAGCCTGCAGGGAAAGGCAGGGGTAATCCTGACTCAGAGGGGAGAGGTGCGGGACCAGGGTTTGTAGTGTAAGGACATGCAATGCCAGGAACTGTCACCCCCTGAGCAGGGGACAGGTCTATGTGCCCCTCTGGGAGGGGCTGGCCAGCTCAGAATGCTCAGCACCCCCTGGAGCAGCCCTTTCCTCTCATCCCTACCTATGTGCAACGACGATGGTGGTGCGGTGGGTGCAAACCTTGGCCAGCGAGGCCTGGATGTGTCTCTCAGTCTCCGTGTCAAGTGCGGACGTGGCCTGTGGGAGAGGCAAGGTATGGGGATGGGATGGAGGCAGTGTAGGCGGCTGCTGAGGATGAGGCTGCTGCAGAGTGGGAGGAGGCCCTTGCCATTACCTCATCCAGAAGAATGATGCGGGGACCCTTCAGGATGGTGCGTGCGATGGCAACACGCTGCTTCTCACCCCCACTCAGCTTCAGCCCCCGCTCCCCGACCTGGGTGTTGTATCCTGCAGGCACAAGGGCAGGAACATGCTATGCTGGTGTCCTTTGAGATGGAGATGGGGACCAGGCTCTGTTGCCCAGGGAGGTCCTGCTGGGACCACACAGTCAACTGGCACAGCCTCAGCCCGTCCCTAACCAGAGGCTGATCTAGCCCTGGAGAGAAGGTAGGGAGAGGCAAAGCAAGGCAAAGGGTCACGCAAGTGTCCCCATGGGACATGTCACCTAAGGACACCTGTGAGCACAGCTAGAAGGTCATGAGGAACTCTGAGATCGCAGGGGAAGACCAGGACGGGACTGCAAGGGTCTCACCATCGGGAAAGGAAAGGATGCGGTCATGGATATCAGCAGCCTGGGCTGCCTCCTGCACCTCCTGGTCAGTGGCCAGGATCCGTCCATAGCGGATGTTGTTGGCGATGGTGTCATTGAAGAGCACTGTGTCCTGGGGCACCACCCCGATGTGAGCACGCAGCGACACCTGCTTCACCTGGGGAGGCAGGGGGAGAGGGCTCAGGCAGATGCAAAATCCTTGCAAAGCTCCCCCCCCCCACTGAATCTGAATCCCTACCCTCCACCATGACCCCCACTCCTTGTAGGGTGCGTGCTGTAGGATCCTGCACCACAGGCTCAGCTGAATCTGCACCCTGTGGTGGAGCACCCTGACAGTGGCCCAGCCGTTCCCAGGGAGCCCTGGCCAGTCTCCAGCATTTCCACCGAGGGTGCCATTGACCCCACTCCTGGCATAGCCATCAGCCTGCAAAGGGGCCATGTGTGCTCATCCCTGCCCCTGGGGGGTGCTAGTGCCTGCACCAAGTAGTGCTGTGAGGCCCAGAGGAGCAGGTGTGTCCCCTCTCCGGGTCCCTGGAAGCCTCCCACCCTTACCTGGGATATGTCCTGCCCATCAATGCGGATGCAGCCACCTCGCACATCATAGAAGCGGAAGAGTAGGCGGATGATGGTGCTCTTCCCTGAGCCCGATGGTCCCACCTGCAGCAAAGGTAAAGGGACTTAGAGATACCAGAGTCTCCCAGTTGCTGGCAGAGGTGGGCAGGGAAGGGTTGGCCCTGCTGGGAGTCTGTCCTTCCCACCCTTGTATTTTCCAGCCCCTCTTCCCCCATCCTGCCCTCCCACAGTGAACCCACGCCCAAGCTCCTACTCTCACCAGAGCCAGAGTCTGCCCAGGCATCACAGAGAAGGAGATGTCATGCAGGATTTCTTTCCTGGGAGAGGGAGATTGAGAGGGGCTCAGGGCCACTCCGTGTCCCCATGTCCCTGTGTCAAGCCCCATAGCTTGAGTCATCCCACCCTGCATCCACCACCCCATACCCATCCATATAGCTGAAATGCACATTCTCAAACTCGATCTTCCCAGCCTCCAAGTGCAGGTCACCAGCATTCACCACGTCCTTCACCTGCCATAGGAGAGATGTGGCCTCAGAGCTAGCCTTTCCCCAGGGCAGGACCACGGGGCAATCCAGGGAATGGGGTCCAGGAAAGGTGGCACCCACCTCCTGCTCCTCATGGAGGAGCTCAAACATGTTTTCCATGTCCACAAAGGATTTCTGGATCATCCTGGAAGGGGGCAAAGATCAGAGAGAAGGGTTTGGGGAAGCACATCCAGATCCAGTCACCCATGGGGAGGGAGACCCCAGGCACCTCCACAGCTCTCAGTGTTACCTGTAGTAAGTCCCAAACCAGTTGAGTGGCGTGTAGAGCTGGATGATGTAGGTGCCAAAGAGGATGAAGTCACCCACCTGGAAAGGACAGGGTATAGGGGTCCATCACCACCAGACCCAGAGCCCCAGCTCAGCAGGAGGCTGCCCAGGCTGGCACAAGCCTTACCTGCAGCTTGTTTTCGGTGACAAAGTAGGCACAGAGCAAGGACCCTGCCAGCAGCCCCAGGCCAATGACCAGGTTTTGGGTCTGGTTGAGGAGGCCCAGCGAGGCATTGACCTTCCACTCTGAGACCTGGAAAAGGCAAAGCCCTGTGGGATGCTGCTGCTTCCAAAGCAGACCCATGGTGAGCTCCATCCTCCCTGCAGGTGCCTCCCCTTCAACTCCCCCACTGGTGCTGAGCACCCCCATACCTGGTACTTGACAATGGCCTCATTAAAGCGGTTCACCTCGTAGCTCTCTGCATTGTAGTACTTCACCTGCAGGACACAGACCGGAGGTCAGCACCCAAATGGTCCCCCACAGCACCAAACAGTGCTCAGTGACTCCTCCAATGCCTGCAGTACCGTCTCGAAATTGAGGAGCGAGTCCACAGCCCGGGACTTGGCATCATTGTCCCGTGTGTTCATGTCCCGCCGGTACTTGGTCCTCCACTCAGTGATGAAGATGGTCAGAGCTGTGGGCAGGAGGGAGCTGCATTGACAGGTTCCTGTCACCCCACAGCCTGGAAGCCCTGCACCCTGATCCCCCACTCACTCAGATACAGGCTCATACACACAAAGATGATGAGGCCGAACCAGGCGCTGAAGACCGAGGTGAAGTAAACTATGCTGATGACAATGTCCGCAATGGTGGGGACAATGCTGAACACGATATAGCTGGGGGGAGAGAAGAGGGATAGCACATCAGCCTGGTCCGGTGGGGCTGCTTGGCCGCCCCCCACCCGTCACAGGCACGCTCTGACCTGAGTAAGCTGTTGATGCTGCTGGTGCCCCGGTCCACGCTGCGCAGGACCTCGCCAGTGCGACGCCCCAGGTGCCAGCGCAGGGACAGCCCATGCAGGTGGGCAAAGAGCTGCACCTGCAGCTGCCGGTCAGTGAACTGCTGCACCCACACCCACAGGAAGGTGCGCAGGTTGCTCACGAAGCCAGTGGAGCCTGCAGGGCAACATGAAAAGGTCAACTGAGATCAGCCCCTCCGGTGCATGAAGCAGATTCAGAAAGCCCAGCTGGGAAAGGGGGATTTGGGATGAGGTCCACCCGCTGTTCCCAGCCCAGGATCAGCCCTGGTTGTTGCTTCCAAGAGAGAACAGTAGTTATGGGGATAACGGCATCCCTGGCTGCTCCAACCCTGGCAAGATGCCCCCCACCCTGTCTCTCCCCAGTGCCCTGTCCTTCCCAGCGGTCCTTACCAGCACCTCCACCCTGCAGGAATTTCAGCCCCACGTAGCTGCAGACAGTCCAGGCCAGGGTGTGCCAGGGAGCGCCCACCGTCAGCTCATTCACTGAGGAGAGAGTGGCAAGGGTCAGGATGGAGGGGCAGGAAACATCACTGGGTGCCCATGGGAACAAGCCCCAGCACTCAGTGCTGGTCCCTCACACCCTGGATTCTGCTCCTACCAGCCCCCTGCAGCCCCCCAGGTCACTCACCCACCCTCCAGCACTCAGTGAGGCCGTGAGCAGCCTCACATGCCAAGCTCCAGGTGCCTCACCAATGTTCTTGTAGTAGATGGGGACGAAGACATTGATGGCCCGCTCCAGCCCCATGAGTGCCATGCAGAACAACACCAGCCCCTGCAGCAGGTGGTTGCCTCTGGGCCACATGTATGGCACCAGCAGCCGCAGCTTCCTCCGGAAATCCTTCCAGGTGGAGGTGGTCCTGCTGGCATCGGTCAGGAGCGGCTGTGGGAGAGCAGAGCAAGGGATCACTGCCTTGGCACCCCAACCCAGGTAACAATGGCCCTGGGGAACACCTCACCAAGGAAACCATTCCCATCCTCCCAGGGTGCCCACTCCATCTTCGCAGCAGGGCCCCATCCTGCTGACAGTGGGCAGAGAGCTTGGGCAGCCCCAAACCTCACTCCTCCCACGTCTCCTGAAGATGCTGATTCCAGGACAGCTGTATTTCCATTTTATCCTCAGGTCCTCCCTGGCCATATCCTAAAACTGCTCCAGCCCCGGGACTCACCTGGCTGTTCTCCACGTCCCGCTCCTCCTCGTTGACCAGCAGCATGTATGGCTTGTGGGGCAGCCCTGGGGCCTTCATGCCCAGAACAAAGAGCATGAATGTGCAGACATAACGCAGTAGCCAGAAGCCAAACTGCACCTGGATGGAGAGTGCAGGGTCAGTGTCACAGCCGGCCCTCAGCACAACCCTAGGCATGGGATAGGTATGAGCTGAGAGAGACAATGATTGGGGCATGGAAATGGGATGCAGTGCAGCCAGGTGTCATGGGTTTGAGCACAGCACCTCAGGCAGCACTCAGACCCCTTTCTTCCTCCCTGCCATGTCTGGCTCTGTGCCCTCCGGCTCTGAGTGCACCAGCCCTGGGGGGAGCAGAGGGTAAAAGGAATGTGGGCAGCAGGCAGATATCCCCACCTCTGCACGTGGGTCTGGGCCAGGTAGAAGCAGGAGATGAGGTGGATGGTGGAATGGAGAGATGTGTGACAGATAAGCTTGGGGCTGAGGCATGTGGAAGATGTGTGAGTGCAACCCAGGAGCGTAAACACCCTGGGCATGGCAGGTCATAGCATGTACACCCCATCCCTGCACTGTGATGGTGCAGGTCACCCCCCTGCCCCAGAAAAGGTTCCATTCCTGCCCACGGCCCACCAGCTAACCTTCTGGTTGGTGTCCTCCAGTGCCCACCACCACAGTGGGCTCCTCCAGCAAACCAGGGTCAGGTTCTCGGCAGCAAAGGCCAGTGCCCAGAAGAGGAGGAGGACAGTGCCGTGGCCCCGTGTCCGGTCGTGCGCCAGCACCCGCGTATGCTCCAGCTGCAGGAGGGCGATGGCACAGCCCCAGCTGAGGGCCCAGAGGCAGGCATGCAGCAACATGTACCCGTAGAGCCGTCCCAGCCCCACTCCTTGCCACAGCAGCCCACCGAAGGGCTGCAGGGCCAGGAGCAGGGACAGCAGGACCTGGCCGCGGTAGAGGGGGGAGCGGGGAATGTACTTGGGCTCCATGGCACGGCCAAAGCGGGCATAGCAGGCGTACTGCAGGGCGCCCAGCAACAGGCAGACACTCAGCAGCACGGCCGGCACCAGTGTGAAGAAGAAACAGGGCTGGAAGCCCTGCTGGACCCAGGCCTGGGCAATGGAGCTGTTGCCCTCACAGTAGCCCATCAGCACGGCCATCCTGGCAGGTCACCTGCTGCGGAGAGAAGAGGAGCTGAGGCAACTTTTCAGGATGGGCTGTAGTACGGCTACACAAAGGGGCCCACGGTGGGATGGCATGGCCAAGCAGCAGGGGCCCTCATGGGCAGGAGCAAGCACTGCTGGACACGGGCACGCAAGATGCGCTGCATGCAACACACAAGGAGACTATCTGCAAGCAGGGTTAGCTTTGCATAAGGATGGCCATGAGCACCACACCAGGACACGCTGTGTGCCCTGGATTGGGTCCCCCAGAGCCTCCCGGGTCCCTGGGGAAGCACTCCGACATGGGGACAGAGGGAGACGCAAGGATCAGAAGACAGAGGGGTGCTGGGACCAGTCTTGAGTGGGAGGGAACAACGGGGGCGATGCAGCGGCAGCGCGGTGCGGGGGGGATGCGGTCATGTGGAGGATGCTCGGGGAACCGCGAGGCTGAGCAGGGGAGGGGCAAGGGCAAAGCCAAGGATACACCGGGGAAACATTCGCGCAGAGAAAGGCAGGGGCCGGGCCGGGCCGGGCCAATGCCCGGCGGTGCCAGGGCCGCTCAGCTCCGGGACAGGCGGCCGCAGCCCCGCCGCCGTGCAGCCGCCGCGCCCGCGCCCGCCCCCGCTCACCTGCCCCGGGCCCGCGGCCTCGGCCCGCTCCGGGCTCCGCGCCGCCACTGCCAGCCGGGCCCCGGCGCCTCTCTGCCCCGCCCCGCCCCGCTCCCCGCCCCGCCGTGCCGGCACTGCCAGGCTCCTGCCCGCCTGCCCTCCCTTCCCAGCGCCGGGACTTCAACCCCAGAATGTGTCCCTTCCGTGGGCTCCGGTGCCCAGCCCCGGGCGGCACGGACCTTCCCCCGCAGCGCCGGGAATGGGGAGGTGCCAGTGCCGTGGGACGCATTACCGGGCCGGGGGCGGTCCCCGCAGCCGAGGTGAGACGCCCCGCTCCCGCTTATCGCCGCCGCCAGCCCGGCCCTGCAGTGCCGCGATAGCCCCCGGAGGCCCAGCGGGGCCCTCCCGCCGCAGAGGTCAGGCAGGACGAGGCACTGCCTTCCCGGGGATAAATATAGCCCTTGCCTCCCCCCGAGGTCGGGACCGTGCCTCTGGCCGCCAGAGCTCCTGCGGGCTCCTCGCAGCTCCCAGCTGCCATGGCAGGCTTCTGCTCAGCGGTTTCCTCGGTGCCCGGTACCGTGGCTGAGCCCAGGTGGGTTGCACAGTGCCGCAGAGCGAAGGGAGACTCGGACGCGGGAAGGGATGATACACCCCATCTTTATTAGACGGCTATACAGCTGTACAGCGAGGGCATGAGGGTGCGGTACTGCACTCCCCAGGGACCCCCCGCACCCGCCCGCCCCGGAGGAGATGAGGAAGAGTGGCTCGCCATGCACATGGGACACTGACACAAGCACAACATGCGGCAAAGTCTCAGGCCTGCTCTGCCCGGCCTCTCCCTCCTGACAGCCCAGGGAAAGGTCTAGGCTTTCCCACTGCCCCTAGGCACTGCCTCCTGCCGCTCAGCTTACAGACCAGCAGCAACTTTACTGGGAAACCCAAACACAGTGTCCCACAGCCCCAGAGAGGCTCCTCTCGAGCAGGGCAGCAGCCTGGACAACCGGAGAAGCTTGGGTTCCCGGGGATTTGCTTTCAGTTTCCTTTGACCAAGCCATGACAGTCCCAAGCCAAAGCTGCTGTGGGGCTGTTGCAGCCACTCCTTCATGGAAAGACCCCAGCAGCACTCAGATCCATGGAGCCCTGACCCCAACACTGAAGAGCTTATTCCCACCCAAGCTATACTTTAGCATGCTCTGTTTGATCTCATACTGTTTGATCTTTGACCCCAGAGCAATTATAGCCCCAGCCCAGCCTAGCCCTTTTCATGGCAGCAGGGAGTCTGCTACCCCAAAGAGCCTGACCCTGCACAAGCCCCTCAGCCCTGCTCATGCCTGGGCTACACGGGTGCAGTACCCCTGGGAGTAGGTGGCTTGGCAGCACGTTCTGTCCCGTGCTCAAAGGGCAGAGGGCAATAACCCTGGCAGGGGAAGAGGGGTGGCCCTGGACTCCAGGGACAGCAGAGGATGGTGTGCAGTGCTCACAGAGGACATGGCCAAAGCAAGCAGCCCCTGCCAGAGGCGAGAAGAATGGAAAGCAAATCCTGGCAGAAGTTAGCTGAAATGCAAACTCTCAGAAGCTGCAAAGAGAAGAGAGGGAAACCAGAAGGACGGTGGGAAGGTCTTGTCTGAGGCTACACAGCATAGCTGGGATTCTGATTCCCCACTATGATCCCCACGCTGGGCTCCCTTCTTCAGGGCTCCTATCCAAGCTTGCCCCACCAGGCATGAGACAGCTGCTTGGTACATGGTCTCCACAGCAGCTGAAACCATGTTGCAAGCAAAAGGGAGGTTTCAGGAGGAAAGGAGGAGCTGTGAGCCTCTGGGCGAGGTGCACCAAAACCTTTGCCTGGAGAAGAGGAAAGGCCCACTTCACAGGAAGAGCATCAGGACAGACCCAATGCAACAGCACCTGGGCATGGGGAAAAAGGCCTTTTTTGTGCCTGGAGAGAAGGAGTCAACACATAGAGCAAAAGACCTTCAGGGTGGGCTCTGAAGGGGCTGTGAGCACTACCCAGAGATGCCTGGCTGCTCCACACTGGGGTCTCTTTGGCACTGCAGGAGGGCCCACTAGCAGCCTGCATCCCATGAGTGCCACACAGGGGAAGGATGCTGCTGGCCCAGCCCAGAGGCATGGCACAGAGGCTGCCAGATGGGAGGGACATCAGGGACCCAGGACTTCATCTCACTGACCCTTTCTTGCATGCAGGGAATGGGCCAGCTGTTGTGAGTCAGGGAAGAGCTGCAGTATCCTGGGATCGAGCCAGAGCTGTTCCCACCAGCTCTATATCCCACCCGTACTCACACCGCAGCAACCAGGGCCCATCCCTCTGCAGGGTACTGGGGCAGAGGGGTGGGTTAGTGCCCCACTGCTGTCCTGCTCAGGGCTGAGGGGAACAACACTGGTCCCCTCTGGAAGGACAAGCGTGGTCCTGGGCACCTCCTCAGGGCTGCAGGCAGGGCATTGTGGCGCTACAGGCTGAGCTAGACCACCCTCAACAACTCCTGCCCTCATTTTGGAGGCAGGTCCCAGCTCCGGAAGGACATCTGGATAGAGCTGGTGCCATCTCACATCCCTTTGAAGAGCAGCTGCTGCTGCCACCTCCACGCCAGTCCACAGCTCCTCACTGCTAGTCCTGTCACGTCAGCTTCCACAGGCTCTGCAGAGATCCTCCAACACGGACGACACAGATGTGAACACAGACACATGTATGTACTCACACACGCATTCACCCCACAAGTCAGAGTGGTGTTGACTTGACACATGGCTGGACACAAAGTGCCACAGCAAAGCCACCGGCCTGGCAGTTTTGTCTCTTCGGCAATTGATGGCAACAAAATGTCCACTCAGGACAGGAGAAGAATCAGGCCGATGCCACATCCTGCTGCCCAGGTGGCTCCCAGTCTGCAAGCCCCATGAGATCCCCAGTCTACAAGGTTATACCTGCAAGACAGAGAGGGAAGGTGACACCTACGGGGACCAGCTGCCAGCACCCCAACCTGACATGCAGAGTACCCTGTGGCCCTCTGAGCCACAGCTGTCACCCCTCTACCTTGTGGATCTGTGGCGGAAGCTCGTCCTCCGAGCTCTCCTCTGGCACGGGCTCTGGGTGCCTCGCTGACTGCCCATCTTCGGCCCAGCCTCCCAGAGGGAGGCGGGAGAAGTGTGATGGAGCTCTGTGCACTGTGCCTGGGTCTGCAGGAGAGGCAAGAAGGGAGATGAGCTACCTGGGGGACTGCTAGCGCTCAGCAGCAGGCAAGCTGCTTGTGCCAGTCCATACAGGGCATGTGTTATTGGGCTCAGACCTCTGCCCTGGCTCCCGTACCTGTGATGCCCCCGTATCGCCGCTGGAAGCCAGTCTGCAGTGTGGCAGTCTCCTCGGCAGGCTGCCGCGGTGAGGAGAAGGGGTAGCTGGCAGAGCGAGGAATGGGGACGGAGCCACCCCGCTGAGTGTCCAGCTCTTCGTGGGCGCTCTCCCCGCTCTCGTCGCTCTCTCGTCGGTGCCAAGTGTGCCGCTCAGGCTCCAGCTGGGCATGCTGCTTGTGCAACTGCAGGACAAAACACGAGTGACTCAGCGGTGTGGGAGAGCCCATACGCCCAAACACACCCTCTCCGCAGCACTGTACACATGCTGGTCTCCTGGTTACAACAGACAGGGCAGCCCAGGAGCAATGCAACCTGCTTTCTCCACACCCCTCTGTCCAGCCCGGCTCTGGGTTGCTCACCTCGTGCATGTAGAGTGCATGGAGACTCATCTCAGTGGAGGCATACTCTGACAGGATCATGCTCTGCAGCTGACCCTCCCAGGCGCTGCTCCCCGAGCTCATGGTCCTCGCATCGGCACTGCCATGAGATACACAGGTGATGTTTGGTGCTCAGGTAGCCTCACAATGCCTAGCCCCTCTACAGTCTAATGTCAGGCTTGTAGAGATCTGCTCCTGAACTGGGTAGGAACAGGCCTTCCGCAGCACCTCCCCAAATGCACAAGGTGACTAGCCCTGCTATGGCACTGCCTCTTCCCTACGGGGGTCTCTCACCACTGTGATACCTACAGAACAACAGGACCTCGACCCTGTCCTGTGGGGCCAGCCTAAGCACCTGGGTCTAACTGTACTTGTATGTCCCTTGCTGTCCCAGCCTGCAGAGAAAAATGCCACCATGCACCTAGGACAACAGGATGGCAGTTGGGCAAGGCGTAAAGGAACGTGCAAGGTCTGCCCCTCTCCAGCTGGCAGCTTACCCAGAGGTTGTCATGGCACTGGTGCCACGAGGCTGGGCTCCCTCTCCATCCCTTCCTGCTGCCTGGAAGCCGCTGGGAGGCTGCTGGGTAGACTGGAGAGGGGAGAAGGAACGCAGGGCTGAGGCCACTTCAGAGAGATGGCGGGACGCCTGTCCATCCCGGCTCATGTGGAAGCCCAGTGCTGAGGAGCCTGCTATCACATTGGCAATCAGGCTGTGAGGCTGCAGAGTTGAAAGAGAGAGAGTTACTGTCCTGTGCAGAGCTGGAAGACTGATCTCCACCAGCAACACAGAGCTGCAACACCTCAGCTATCCCAGCCCCTCTCCCACCTCACAGGGCTCCAGGACAGCCCTCTGTCTTCTCCTGAAACCCTGAAGTGTCCCAGCTAGTGCTGATCTATCACATTTGCACCCCCACATACATCCCAGGCAAGGGCAAAGTTGCCCAGAGGGTCTGAGGATCAGTTTGCCAGCATCCAGCAAGCAGCTCCAAGAACACCCTGCATTCCCTGAGCCCGGTCACCTCTGATTCTGACTGCAGGGACTGGATGGAGCTGAAGAGGGCATTTTCAGGGAGCACAGCCTGCTGAGCCAGTGCCACGCTGCTGTCCCGGTGCACCCGCTCCTTCAGGAAGCCAATGAAAGCTGTGCTCTCGCGGGGTGGCTGCCACTTGGGGTTGGTGATGGCAAAGTGCATGAGGGACAACTCTGTCTTGCCGTCCTCGGCCTGCTGGTAAATGGAGGCCTCCGTCTTTCCTGCCGACATCCACTGCAGACAACAGAAAGGTAATGAGGGACAGGACCTGCTTTGAAACCCGGCCAGGCCTGGGAATTCTGCAATCAGACTGGGCAAAGCATGCAACACCCAGCACAAGCTGGGCTGCAGCTCCCTGTGTAGCAGGTGCTACACCAAAAGTCCCACGTTCATTCAGCCCTCACAGCCTGGGGAAGAAGCAACAAGCATGGAGTCTTTCACCTCCCAGAACAAGCATCACTGCAAGGGAACTGGAGAGCTGAGGGCAGTCACAAAATACAGATCTGAATGCCTTGTCTTGCACTCTACAGCTCACAGCAGGAGTGATTACAGCCAACAAATGACTGTTCTTAAAAGCTTCCCACCACTGAATTCACCCCCTCCCTAGTTCATGACTCTGTCACCAGGGAATCTTTACCTAGACAAGTAACCTAAATTCCCAGGTACAAGAAACAGATGGATCCCTTTGCCCTCCATACTAGATTTTACATAATGAATAATGCTTCCCATTTCTTCAAAGCTGCCTCTCTCCTGAGCACAAGCAACCCAGCCTCTTTACATCAGTTCTTAGTGGTCACACTTTCTGAATATCCAAATATCCCATTTCCTTTCTCCGGAGGACACAGGACTCTTGGTTGTGAAGACAGGCAATGGTATCAAAGAAATGACAAAGCCTGCTTCACAAAATCAATAATCACAGCTGGGCCACAAGAGCCTTCTGGGGCTGGTGACCTGTGCTGACAAACCCAGATACCCTACCCAGAGGCTGGGCTGTGGGCTGAGTTAGGTCCTCTCATGGGCCTAAAGGACCAGACATGCTGGTGGGCAGCCCAGGCTGCTCTCCTGCCTCCCATTGGACCTACCGCTGGGTGGCCATGCTGGCGCACATCCATCTGGGCGAAGGAGCAGGTGTCACCTACACCCACCACCTCCACGGTGAAGTTGCGGAAGAAGTCAACAATATCCAAGGACTTGGGCCGCAGGAAAATGATGAGGATCAGGGGTGTAATAATGGGACTCAGAAGCTCCTCCAGGATGAAGACCTGAGGACAGACATGATGGGTTCAGCCCAAGCTTGAGGATGTCAAAAAAACCACAATCCCAAAGCCAACTCCCAGCTCCAGCCCTCCATCTCCTGGGGCAGGGTGTCTCTGAGAACGCTGCCCTGCTCCTCTACAAGTCCAGGAGCTGCTCAGCTCTCCAGCAGCTTCTCCCTCTTGCAGGGATGGGGCTGAGTCCACAGCCCTGCCCCACATAAGCCAAGCTCACCGCTTTGTACTGGAAGAGCTGGGCAAACTCATCCCTGGTCTCGTAGCGGTGGGCATTGCCCTGCCAGTGGTCAGGCATGTAGTGGATGTGTGCCAGGATGACTCGCAGCAGCTGCTCTGGGCAAAACACCAGGTGCTGGTCAGGAATGAAAGACCTGCAGGACAGGACAGGGAAACATCACAGCATCATACCTCAGTTCCTGGGAGGGAAGGGTGACTACCCCATATCACAGCTCCACCTGTAACCTTTCTGCCAGCCCAGCCCTTCATATCATACAATCACCCAGGATCACCACTACCCCCTTTCTTCTGCTTGGTCCTGCCTCTCCCCAGCCGTGGCCCTCACTCAGGCAGATTCACGTCCACTTGCAAGCAAAGAGCATGTCTACATGAATTGTTGCCAGCCCCACTGCTCCCCACAGTGCTGCCAGGAGCAAAGGCGCAGCATAGACCCAACCTCACCTGCACACCGTGATGCCCACCCCGAGCAGGGTGACCGTGGTCAGGACGTGCTCGACCGCCAGCACGTCCTCATCATAGATGGTGAGAGCGATGAGCACAGCCAGGATGGAGCCAGCAAAGAAGGCCACGTTCTTGGCCACAATGGTGAGAAGTGGGGAGATAAAGCAGTTCATGTACTTGGAAGCTGGTTTGTACCCCTTGCTGAGGCGTGAGTGCAGTTCATGATCCAGCTCATTGAAGTGACGGAGGTAACAGCGGCCATAGAGAGACCAGCAGCGAGCACCCAGGCTGCCCGGCTCCCGCTTCAGGATTTCTGTGTAGCTGAAGAAAGCATAGAGGATCTGCCAGATGAGGATGAGGGGGCAGAGGAGGAAGTTAGCAATGCCAATCCAGAGGATGCGAGTGCTAAGCTTCTCAGCCAGCTCTAGGCGGTTCCCAGCTCGCTTGTACTCAGCCTTCAGGCTCCACTCGTTTTCAAAGAGGGAGCCAGGACCCCAGAAGAAGATGAGCTCAAAGTTGTACTTGAGCCCACGTGTGTAGAAGACTGTGTCTCCCAGCAGTGGCAGGCGGAAGCGGATGGGCAGCAGTGACTTGTTCACCATGGCCACCATGTAGTTCTTGAAGCGAAGGATGCGGTGATAGATGTCCAGCTCCGTCAGCTCCTTCTTGTGGATGCAGATCTGGTGCTCCTTCTGGATCTGCACTATGCGGGCCTGCACCTCCTGCCAGGTATAGTAGGGCAAGGTGGACTGGAAGGGGACAAGCAGCAAGATTAGGGGCAGGAAGCACCCAGGGTCAGAAGTTGGGCTGAGCCCACTGAAGCAGCAGGTCCCAGCGCACGCCTTGGGGTGCTGACAAAGCCCATGCAACACCAGGACACGAGGCACCTCCTGGCACCGTTTCAGCCTGCAGCGGGTACACCCCACACCTTGCCCTGGTGCCCTTTACCCCTAGATTAGCACAGATGACTGTTTCCCAGCCACTCACATACCAGCTACCTTGGAGGCACAAACACAACTCCAGGCTCCCATGGGTCCTTCCAGAGCTGCCATTTCAAGTCAACAGGGAGACACAAACAGGGGAAGGGACTTAAGCAGTGTCTCAGAGGGAGCCCATGGAAAAGGTGGCAACAGACCAGGTCTCTTGGCTCACCCCACCTCTCTCAAGACACCTTCTCCCTTCAAAGGATGCGCACACACCTTTTCATGTTGTCCATCAGAGTAAGGACTCTGGACTAGGATGTATGTGCAAGCCTCAAACCCCATCTTTGACATACCAATCCCCTGTGTGACTTTCAGCAACTAAGTAGCTCCACGCCTTGGTTTCCCCAAAAGTAAACAAGGAAGATGAGGTTGTCCATAACCCAGAGGGGTATGAGGATATCTTGCTTACGCCTTCTCCGTGGAAGGCAGCACAGAAAAGGCCATGACTGAAGAATACACATATTGAGCGGCAGACGGCAGAGGCGTGTGCCAGCTGGCAGAGAGGCAGGCTGGGCAGAGAGGGGTTAACATGGAATAAGCTGGCTGCTTGGAGAAGAGGCTGAAAGGAGACCGTGTGGTTATGGAGCAGAGGGAAGAGTGTTTTGTAGAAGTCTGAGGAGAAGTGGAGAGGCATGCAGGAAAGTTGCTTCACCCAGCAAATGCCTCCCATGACCCTCAGCATCCAACGCAGCCCCTGGCTCAGCTACTTACCATAGGGATTTTCAGGGCATTGATGTAGAAAGAGTGAATCTCCCAGTAGCAGCAAATGTTGTAGATAAATTTGACAAGTCGGTGGATCCAGAAAACCCCAGCTATCACCAGGATGCAGATGAGGAAGCTGTTTGCCTGGATTCTGCAAGCAAGAAGAGGCAAGTAATGGGAGACAGGCCCAGACAGGTGCCCTGAGTACCTGAGAAAGCAAGAGCAGTGGCTAACATGCCCTTCACTGCACCCACCTTGCACTGCAGACATTTGGAGGCAGGAAGGCATCTGGCAAAGTCACCTTAATGGGCTCACTGGGATGCTGGCTGTGATTTAATGCTTTGTTGGCAAAGAGGATGTCATAATCAACACAGCTGATAAGAAAGGTGGTAAACGCCACCACAAAGATGAACTGCCTGTGAAAAAAAAAGGAGAGGTGGGAGGGTATCACCCTTCTGCTCCCCTCCCCAAAATGTGAAGCAGCCACGGTCACACATCATGGAGTTGCATTCCCACAGCCATTGGAGCTGGAAAGTTCACAGGCAATGGTTCCTCAAAGTGAAATGTAGGTTTGGGGCATGGAAAACCCTGATGAGAGGGAGACAGGACAACTATGAAAGGAGCCCTTCCACCCTCCCATATGTATGAGCTTGGCAATTGCCTATGGCTGTCACAGCCACAACAGAGGGGAATGTGCACTTACATGAGCTCAAAGATCTCTCCAATGAGCATGCAAGTGAAGCCATTCTTCTGATGCAGGTTATAGACGTGAAAGCTACAGTCAAGGAGAACAGCCTGGAGACTCCTCTCTGATGAAGGATGGAGAAGCTTCTGTCCCACCAGTATTCCACAGCTCCCCAGTCAAGTCTCCCTCAAACACCAGTAGAAGATCCCTCCCAACCCTACTCATCAGCAAGCTGATTCCCCACTGCAGGAAAACATACTCTGCCCAGGTAAAGCACAACTGGAGGACTTGGTTTCATCCATGCTCCTTTTGTCCCTCCACCTCCAACAACCAGAACAGGGTCTGTCCCAGCACAGAGGAGAAACTCAGCCTGCCTTCAGGTTGCACAAGGATGGGTAGGGCAAGGCAGGACAACACAGAGACAGGCAAAAATGCATTTAATGGCACCTAGCAGCTGTGACTGGTGTCCCTGTTCCTGACCCAGGCAATGTGGTCAGCATAACTAACACCACTGTATAAGGCAAGCAGCCGTTCTCCATGACCGAGAGGGTCACCCTTTCCCCAGTTATCAGGCCCTGAAGGTCCTGTGAAACAACTACACAAATCAAACAGATTTCTCTTTCCCCTCCCTACCAGCCTCAGGATTCCTTGGCACCAGGCTGATTACTCTCTTCCATGCTGTCCTTGAAGGTCCCAGGCACTGGGCCAACCCGACAGAGGTGATGACCCCGTCAGAGAACAGGGAAGTGTAACCCCACCCAAGAGCATTGTCCACAAAATCAAGGAGTTGCAAGTCCTAAGTCAGAACTTGTAACAGAACTGCTGCTGGACAGTGAGACCCAGGACCCCCCAGTAGCCAGGGACATCCCCACTATCATCTGCTTCCTCTGAGAACTGAGGGACTCATATTCTTTTATAAGATTTTTGATTCTCATTATGATTGCTATACTGATAGAGCAAACCATGTATTAAGATATGACCTGATCTGTAGAGAATCCAGGCGATTAGAAACAATAAGCTAAGGGATGCTACAAAAACCTGTGATGTGCTACTTAAAAAATTGTCCTACACTGATTCCGCTTACAGAAACCCTGCGCTACTCTGATTATAAATACTATGCAAGCAAAAAAATCCTGTTAAGAAAATAAACCATTAATGGTAACCACAACTTAGTACTGTCATCACTCTGCCAAGAATCCCTAGAAGCACCTGTCTGACCCTCAGTGTCGGGTGACAGCATCCCAAGGTTTGGGGCTTCTGCCAGCCCCTCTGGAGCCATGTGGTGTCCTACAGGAAGGGGCAGACACTGCCCAAGCCCCAAGTTACACCAAAACCCATGTTTTCCCCGCACTAAGAGCCCGGCAGGCAGGGGCTGCATCCCACCTGATCCCCACCCTGCGAAAGGATATTCGAGAAAAGAAGAGGTCCAGGTTCTCGATGTGATGCCACGGAGCTAAAGGAAGAAGCGGCACAGGGTGAGGGACCCTCAGCACACCCACCCCTGCTGTTGTGATCGGCACAACACACCTCTCTACCGCTGCCCCGGGTCCTCGAAGTCCCAAACCGGCCCGGCAGCCCCCACTCCCGGCTTCTCTCGGCGTCCAGCCTCTCCCCTCCGTCCCTGGCCTCTCCCTGCATCCCGCCGCTGGCCAGGCCCCAACCCCCCCTGCCGCCACTCACACTTGGCACCCTCGGGGACGTGGACGAGCAGGTCGCCGCCGCCGGGGGGGGACTCGGTGGAGGAGCTCTCCAGGCGCTGGTACTGCGTCTCGAAGTGGGCCATGGCGGGGCCCCCCCGCCGCCACCGGCCCGGCCCGGCCCGGCCCGGCCCGCTCGGCCCCGCCCGCGACTGGCGGCAGCGGCGCCCAATGGCGGCCGCGGGGTGGGACGCGGGCGGCCAATGGGCAGGCGGGGGGCGGGGGCGGTGACCAATGGGCGGGGAGGGCGGGCCCCGCGGCGGCGGCGGGATGTGACGGGGGCGCTTCCGGGCCGGGCGGTGGTGGCCGCGCGTGAGTGGCGGGGGTCACTGGGGTTCGGCAGGTTTGGGGAGTCATGGGAGTACGGCAGGTTTGGGGGGGTCATAGGAGTACAGCAGGTTTGGGGGTCACTGGGGTACGGCATCTTTGGGGGAGTCATTGGAGTACGGCAGGTTTAGGGGGTCCCTGGGGTACGGCAGGTTTGGGGGTGATGGGGGTACGGCAGGTTGGAGGGTGATGGGGGTACGGCAGGTTTGGGGGTGATGGGGGTACGGCAGGTTTGGGGGGGGATGGGGGTACGGCAGCTCATTGGGATATGGCAGCTCGTGGAGGGATGATCGCGAGGGTGATGTCCCTGGGTGGTGCGGAACCCTGGGGGCAGTGCCGGTGGGAAGGTCCCGGCCGCAGGGAGGGCTCGTGTGGAGGGAGCGGTGTGCCCGTGGGTCACCTGCGGGTGGTTCCCACCGGGCCTGTCGCTCAGGCGCTGTCCCATCCGCTAGGAGCAGGAGCAATGCCGGCCTCGGAGAGCAGGTCCGTGTTCGAGGCTGCCCAGGACCCCGTCCTCCTTCACGGTCTGACCCTCGTCACTGGAGTTGCTGCAGACACAGGTGCTACCGAGCTGGCACGAGTGAACCACGGTGCGTGGGGCTCCGTGGGGATGGCGGGAGGGAAGTATTTGTCCAAGCTTATGCCCCCTAGCCCCAAGCCACAGGTTGGGAACTCTGTCCCTAATAGAGCATAGGTGGCCTCACTGGAGCTTGGCCATGGGAGCTGCCTTGTGGGCGGGTAAATGGGCTTTTCTCAGTGTCACCCCAAGGTCCCTGAAGCTTCTTCTACAACCATACGGCTCATTGGGTGGCTGAAGAGGGACCTAGAAGGCTCTGTTCCTTGTGGCATAGCCTGGGGAGCTGCCTGTGCACAGCCCTTCCTTCTTCCTAAAGAGAAGCCTGCAGCCACCAGCTGCGAGGAGAAGATCCATGAGGTCCCTGAGGTGCCAGGGAAGATGTGCTGCTCAACCTGTGGGCAGGTGTTTGGCAGCCGGGAGGAGCAGGTGAGCGGGGCTGGACAGCCAGCATGAGGTGGGTGTGGGGCTGGCATGACTGGTGAGGTCCTGCTGTGCAAGCTCAGCCCCAGCATGGTGCAACCCAGTACTGGCTGTTTCCTGGAGCTCTACTGCTCATGTCCTGCTGGGATCTGGCACTCAAACCTTGCATGTTATAGGTTAAAAGTATAATTTACTGGAAGTAAATGTAAGTGTAGCACAGGCCTGTACCTCTTTAGGTTAACTGTTCCTAAATGTACTGCAGTCTTCCAGTCAGGATTACTGAAGAGTTGCATCATCGGTTTAGCACTCAGGATCTGTCACCTCATGCCCTTTGGTGGTGGGGGTTTCCATGGACCACTAAGACCCTGCTGGCTCATACCTCTTTGCTCCACAGACTGAGCACTACCATCTCGACTGGCACCGCTTCAACCTGAAGCAGAGACTCCTGGGGCGCCGGGCGGTGCCTGTGGAAGTGTTTGAGGAGAAGACCCGCACAGGTGAGGAACGGGCCTGTCTGTGTTGGAGCCCAGGGGCTGTCAGTGACCTCGCTGGGCCTGTTCTGGGCAAGGATGAAGCCCTCTGCTAGCTCAGGGTTCCTTTATTCTGCCCCTGTGGGGTCTTCTGGGGTTCCAGCACTGCTCCTGAGCCTTGATGATTTGTTTTAGGGAGAAGGGGCAATATGACTGAGCTGCTGCATAGGCATATCTGTGGGTCCAGAGCCCGAAAACCCTGCCTCCCCAACCCACAGCCCCCTTGTGATATGTAGGGTACTGGACAGAACGTTCCTGGGGTTGTAGGCTTGCTCCTGGAGTCACCTGCGGAATTTCTGGGGAGGCTGTTTGGTTAATCTTTGCCCTGTTTCACTGCACCTTTTTTTTTTCCCCTTGCAGGTGATGTTTCCAGCATCTCAGGATCCGATTCAGAGAGCTCTGATACAAGCAGTGAGTCAGAGTTGCTGCCCTCTGCCAGTGACAGCCCTGGGACCCCGCAGACTTCCCGCTCCCACAAGGTGCTGCTCCGCAATGCTGAGGGCCAGCTCATCTCTGCATACCGCTGCGTGCTGGTCACAGGGAAGGCAAGTCACAGCCCAGCTCTTTGGGAGAGGGACCCCAGAGAAGGTGGGTGACACTGGGGGGTAGACATCTGTCTGACAGTCCCCGACTTCCCATGAGGGGAAGAGTGGTCTCTGATGCCAGGTCAGAGTACCAGACTTGCTGGTGGCCTAATTTTTGGCTCTGGGGTGCTCCCAGAAACCTGCTTCTGGTGCCAGCAGAGGGGTTGATCTCTGTCTTGGGGGACAGCAAGAGCTAAGGAGGTGATCCCATGGGTGCAAGCAAGGGTGTCTGTGTATCAGGGTGACATCGAGGAGCCAGCTGAGCTGACAGCATCACTGCAGAGCCTCAGCACGAGCACGTGCTGGGTTGTGCTGATGATGGGTGGCGGGCACTTCGCAGGAGCTGTGTTCCAGGGGTGAGTATAGAGGGACAACTGGGCTTAACCCTTGGCTGGGGTTGCAAGTGGAGCTACTTTTGCACGTTAATCCTGTGCTCACTGAACCCTGTTGCTCATGCCTGCCCCTCTCCCCAGCCCCGAGGTGCAGGAACACAAGACCTTCCACCGCTACACGGTGCGAGCACGGCGCGGCACAGCCCAGGGCCTGCGGGATGCCCAGGGGTCAGCACCCAGGTCGGCTGGAGCTTCCCTGCGGCGTTACAATGAGGCTGCTCTGCTCAAGGTGAGGATGCACAACAGCACTGGGCTCTTGTCTGGCTCTGTGAGGTGGTACCACACTGCTGCTGGGGGGCATGGCAGGGGTGTGGGCTCTGCAAGAGGGTCAGGGCCCAAATTAGGCTGCTCTGAGGCCCTCCTGGGTCTGTCTCTGCTCCAGAGATACCTTTGCCCATGCAATGTGCTCAGGATCCCAGGGTGCTTCCCCTTCCTCCCCAGGATATTCAGGATCTTCTGGCAGCCTGGGCACAGCACCTGAATCAAGCTCAGCGCATCTTCCTCCGGGCCCCTCGTCACAACCGTGCGCTGCTCTTTGGCGGCAGGAACCCACCCCTCACCCGAGGGGACCCTCGCATCTGCCACATCCCCCTCAGCACCCGCAGGGCCACCCTACGAGAGGTGCTGCGAGTCCACGCCACGCTGGCCAGCCTGCAGGTGTATGGTAGGTCGGACCAGTCCTTGTGCCTGTGGGTCAGGGCAGGTGGGGTGGCATGGTCTCTTGGCAGGAAGGGATGCTTCCCTGTGGGATGGAGGTCCTAGTTCTCCAGCCCTCAATCCCTGGAGACATGGGGTGTTCCCTGTCCCCAGGCAATGACAGGAGCACCCTTGCTGCCCAGGGAAGGACACACCATTGGAGGATATCACTGGGTCCCCCCGGAAGGTCTGGCAGAAGAGGCAGCGGAAAGCAGAGATGAATCCCCCACAGGAGGACACACCTGGTGAGTTGAGCCATGGAGGGAAACATAACTGAGCAAACAGGAGGGGTCTGATGTTAATGGCATGGATCAGATTTGCAGCCCAGAGGGGATCTGCAGGGTGTGGCCTCATTCTGGACAGGAGAAAGATAGGGTGTGCTCAGCTGAGAGACCTAAGTGATTCGTTCTGTGTGAGAAGCCTCAGACTCAGTCTTATTACCCCCTCAGCTCCAGAGGAGGAGGAGGAGGAAGAGAAGGAGGAAAGCCTTACAGGGGAGCTGGAAACTGTTGAAGTGACACTGGGGACCTTGGACCTCCGGGAATTTGAAGTGATGCCCAAGCGAAACCGCAAAAGGCAGAAGAAGAGGGACAAGAAGGTGAAGAAAGGTGAGGGGGAAGAGCTGTCTGGGGGCAGTGTAGGAAGGTTATGGCTGGGGTGCAGGCTGACCCTGGCTGTCTTCCTTACCATGTGTTCCTTGTGCAGAGCCCTGTGCTGAAGAGACTGGATACCATGGTACCCAATGTGTGCAACCTGGCCAGGAACCAGTGACAGAGCTGCAGGGGGAGGCTGAGGCTGGGCCCCTTCCCTGGGGTGATGGAGGTAAGTGGGGTCAGGAGCTGGATCACTGGATGCCTGCCCCATTTACTGGTGGCTTTGCCATGGGGTGAAGAGCACGTCATGCAGGTGCCCAGAGCAGTTGGGAGTGGGATGTCTGTAGTGCAACCACGTGCCTTGGAGTGAGCTGTGTGTATGTAGGAGCAGTAGCTTGAACTGGAAGGCCAGGCAGCACCTGGCTAAGCCAGGTGTTTTGGGAGGATTAAAGTGGGTCTCATCTCTGGAGAGGACTTGGCCTGCTGCCAGCACTGCCCAGCAATGCCGTGGTACATTGCCAGAGACTCTGAAGGTGCTGGAGATCCTGCAGTGCCCAGAGCTAGCACGATGATGCTTTAACTGCATCATTCATGTTTCCTAGTCAGACCAGAGCACCACTCTGCCCAGGGAGGCATCAGACTCTTTCCTGTTCTTCCCTCATAGGAGACCCTCAGACCCGGCTCCGCGATGCCTTGTTCACCGCCTGCAAAACAGGGGATGTGCAGACACTGCGGCACCTCCTGGGTGTGCGAGAGAGCGGGGGCCTGCAAGGCGACAGCGAGGATGGGGAGGTCACACAGACTCTGGATATGGCCTACTCCCTGCTCAACCAGCCTGTGGATGAGCGTGGCTGCAGCCTGCTCCACGTGGCAGCGCGGGCAGGCAAGGCGGAGGCCGTGTGCCTGCTGCTGGAGGCAGGAGCGGACCCTGCCCTCAGGTATGGCTGCAGGGTCCCCAGCAGTTGACAACCACAGCTCTGCTCTGGGAGTCCAGCAACTCGCTCCTGTCTCAGCTGCAGGAAAC